TTTTCTTAACGTGTTATTTCGAAAGCCCACCTCACTTTGTTCATGATATCGAGTACACCAAGTTTTTAACAGAAGGGAAAATCCTTCGATTCTAATGTATCAAATATTGTTACATTGACCACTCTTTTTTTCCTGCTGCTTTTCAGTGTTTTTTTTCCCCCCACTCATTGAAATGGGCGGGACAATACAATTGCCAGTTTGCGCTGAGAGAGATTTGTAACATGATGAGAATGCCAGCAGAATCAAAAAGCCCCTAACCAGTAGTACATTTATCTCTTCATTTTCTCAATCCCTTTCATTCATTCTTTGTTTTGTATGCGACGTGACTTTCCTTCCTCCGAAGTTACAACTTTTGCAGTTTCATGGCTGAATCGAATAATGTGGAGGCTCTGTTACACCACAACTACACCACAACTACACCTCCACCTCCACCTACACCTCCACCTACAACCCCCCCCCTCCTTGTGTCCTCCCTCTCGCCCTTATCTCTCCTGCCTAGTGGCTACTACGTACAGTATCCAACCCGAGGCTCACCCAAGTTACCCCCTGGTGCCTGTCTGTGCCAGTCCCGACATAAACTGGGGTTCCACGCACTTCTCTATTGTCCTCCATCTACCCCTCTGCCTCTGCGTTGCGTGGGTTGGGGCGGTGGAAGCGTTGTGGCGTAGTGACAATGACAATGGCTCTGACCCAGGGTGAAGGTAGGGACCCGAATTCACCTGATATGTTTTTTTTTTTTTTTGTGTTTTGCGCTGGCTAAATATTACATATCTCGGTTTGCGTGGTCTCTCGTCCGCTCTCCACGATGCTGTGACGACTTGCCGACAAGACGTTTGACTGGTTGGTTCCTTTTAGTTGCTCTGCCTCATGCGTTACAAGCGGGTTTGAATGAGCGGCCCAGGGGTTGGGAGGTCACGTGGGTGTTTGTATGTATCATAACCTGTCGGAGAACAGAACAGGGAAACGGGTATCGGATGTGTAAAACGTATTTGGATATTTTAATAAAAGGCGCAAAAGGTGGAAGACGAAGGAGAACAGTTAATTCTCGAAAAAGAGAGGGGAAAACCACCCCGCTGCAACTTGAATCGATGTGCTCCGCGAGTGAGAGTGACAATTTGCTCGCGGCTCCTTGGAGCTTTGTAGCTAGGCTGGGCAGCTCCCTCACCGCCTTTCGGTTGTGGGGGACAATTTTGACAAACTTTTTTTCGCTGCTCCAAAACATCGGGAAAAAAGAAAACCTTCCCACAACAACAACAACAACAACAACAACAACAACAACCAACCAACCAACCACCCAGAAAACTTGTTGCATCGTCGTCGACGTTCTCCCTCTCCCCTCTTCATTTCTTCTACTTTTACTGCTATCTACATCCCATCTCGGGTGCTATATAATAAGAGGAAAAGCAAAGGGGGATTTAAATTCCCTCTTCATGTCAAATCTTAGCCCACGTCACTGGAGAGGGGACACCACGATGAGAATATGATTCTGCGTCATCCAATTGCCTCTTCGTGCATTATTTGCTTACGGGCGCCGCCTCTGGAGTTGAATTTAATATCATTATATACTCCTAGATTGTATTGCAAGGGAGAGATTCGGAAATTCAGAACCACCTCTAACCGTGCGTGAAAATTGTGTAGTGGTGCAGTTCTGGCCTGCGTGTTTTTGTCGTTCACGGCTTTATCCGTACATCAATCTATATCCATATATACAGCTGCGGATTTCCGGGAAGTGCTGTGCATATCTGAAATCTCATATCTCCTTTATCCATCTCCCCCCATCCCATCCGGCCTGCCTGATCTGACACTGCCGTGACGATATCCACCTATCCTTCCGGGCGTCTAGGACGAAGAAAATCTTTTAAAAATCTCGATTAAAACTGAGAACGCCCCATACGAAATAAGATCCCTGCGAAAATGGTCTCTGCAGTCCCCGTCATCGAAGAAGCCATGGCTACTGCCCCTTCCATCTGCTCCAAACTGAAACCGTCAAAGTCCATCCTCAAATACCCCTCTTCCTCCTCTACCACGAGCATCATCGGCCAGAAGCGCAAGAGGATCGATATCAGCATGCCATCATCCGCCAGTGCAGACATACCCGCCTCATCCGACGCAGAATGCGATGATGGCAACGGGAATGCGAATGGGGATGGAAACGACGACGACGACGACGACGACGACGACGACGACGGAGCTGCAAGTCCCATAACACGCCCATCATTACCGTTGAAGAAACGGGCCCGTGTCAAGTTCGAAATGGACTTGCATAATGCTAGTGATAATAATGGTAATGGTAATGGCAATAGTAACGGCATGAACGGTGAGAAGAGTACGGCGATGGTACGCGAGGAGGTCCGAAGGGCTATCCAGCGCCACCTAAATGGCGATAGCGAGTTGTACGATCGTGTCAAGGAGATATTTACGGCGGATCCGAAGGAGCTGGAGGAGGATGGGTCGGCTGTGTATGACGTCCCGTCCCCGAAGGTGTTGAGGAATTACTTGCTGGGTCTGTTTTCCAACGTGTCCAGTCTTGATGGGAGGTGTAGTGGGCTTGTGCATGCTGTGCTGGCTAGTGAGTGGCTGGGAAGGGATGAAGGATATGTCAGGTTGTTTGTGAGGTTTCTGGGAACACTGGCGGCAGCTAGGGGGACGTATTTGAATTCCGTGTTGAGGATGCTGGTGGTGGGGCTGAGGCAGAGTGAGTTTCGCTATCCATTTTCTCTTGAGATTCTGTTTTGGACTTCTCGATTTTGTGGAAATAGCCTGGGCTAACTAACTATTCCTGTGCAGTTGATCCTCGCACTGGAAAGCTCCCTGGCTTCCCTGTTGTGTATCCGTCGGAAATGTACGCCCGAGTTCACATGGCGACCAGTTATATCGTTCAGCTTGTTCCCGCCGGCAGCAGCGCTTTGTCTCCCCTGATTGCATCTAGTTTTCCGCATGACACAGACTCCACAAAGGCGCATATTATCTATACACGGAACATCATTAAGATCATAGACTACGCTCCTGAACTCCGCTCGGAAATCCTTGCTCTGATTACTGAGAAGCTTGTCAAGCTCGACGTGCAGTTTCAAGTGGATCTAGAGGATGCAGACGAGGATATAGACGACGACAATGTCCCGGACATGTCCTCCCCTGAGGAAATTGCATTATGTGATGAGGATGGCAATGAGTCAGATACTGAGACTGCCGCCAGTGACGACGACGATGACGGCATGGCTGATACCGAAACCCAGCGTGCCAAAAAGCGCTCCGAAACCAAGCAAAAGATCGACTATATGATCGACATCCTATTCGAATACTACTCCTCACCCTTCACAAATGGCACGTTCGACGAAAAAGAAACAGCCAACGACCTTCTCCTCGCCCACTTCCAAACCATAATCCTCCCCACCTACCGCTCCCGCCACACGCAATTCCTCCTCTTCCACTACTCCCAATCCTCCCCAATCTTCATCGACCGCTTCGCCACCACCTGCGTGCAAATCATCTTCTCTAAATCTCAACCAACAATCCTCCGCCAATACGCCGCCGCCTACCTCGCTAGCTTCGTCGCCCGCGGCGCCCGCGTCTCCAGCGAAGTCGTCCGTGACGTCTTCGACCTGCTGGGTACGCATCTCCAAAGCCTCCAGTCCGAATACGAACCCAACTGCCGCGGTCCGGACCTAAAACGCTACGGACCCTTCTACTCCACCGCCCAAGCCCTCCTCTACATTTTCTGCTTCCGCTGGCGCGACCTCACCAACGCCGCGTTGGAAAACGACCTCTCCTTTCCTCCTTCCTCCTCCTCCCCGCACATTAACAATTTGGATCTCGACGACGTCCACTTCCCCCCGCAAATCAAAAACCTCCTCCGCCGCACCATCTACTCCAAACTCAACCCCCTAAAGGTCTGCTCCCCCTCCATCGTCTCCGAATTCGCCCGGCTCACCCACCACCTCTCCCTCATGTACATCTACCCGCTCATCGAGACGAATAAGAGGCTCCGCATCTCTTCATTCCGCAACCTGACGACGCTGGCGCTGGAGTCGCGGTTTGGGCAGGTGGAGAGGGAGATCAAAGCGGATGATGATGCGGGGCCGCTGCTTGATGCGTATTTTCCGTTTGATCCGTATCATTTGCCGAGGAGTCGGAGGTGGATTGTTGGGGATTATTTGGAGTGGAAGGGGATTCCGGGAGTGGATGAGAGGGGGGAGGGGGAGAGGGATGGAGATGGGGAAGGGAGTGAGAGGGGGTTTAGTGAGAGCGAGGAGGAAAGCGGGTCGGATGGGGATTAGGCTTGCGGCTCCTGACCTGGGCCCCCGTTCCTTTCTTTCTTTCTTTCATTTCTTTTTTCCCCCCTTCTTCTTCCCTTGACGATTTCTCTATTGAATTTGGTTGCCTAGAATGATGTTTCGAAATCTGCTTCATTTCCATATACTGAGGGGGTGGATTGGTCACATTTATTGGGATGATTTGTTGGGGTTTGGACATTTCCCTTTTTATCCTTTTTTTTACTATCAAGTTTTATTTTGAGAACATTTTTGTCTACATTCCATTTCGTGCTTAGCGTTTTATTTTGTTCTTTTAATTTTTTTTTTATGTTTGTTTATTTATTTATTTACTTTGTGATTATTTGGTTACTCCCTATCTCCCATTTTTCCTGGCGAGTGTATGTCCGTTCGTCTTGCCCCAAAGTCGTTGAAAACTGGACAAGTCTGTTTAGTGCGAGAAGAGCAAACCTGGGATAAATAAAAGTATGGCGAAGGGGGGTCTTTATGTGAACACGAGATTGAGTTACACTGTTGGTGGAATGTAGGTGCTGTACCTGGACACTAGATCAAGACAGAAGAATAGGATAATTAGCTGTAATCCACGTTGGAAATGAACAGATACATTCAAAGGAGATGAAACTTTGATAGCCCGAAAAAAAAAATCAACTGACGTTATAAACTATACAAACTATACTGCTCTATACTCCGTCATTAATACAAAATCCAATAGTAGTCTATAAAACAGGCACCTCTTCAAAATGCAAGAAAATAAATATAAATATAAAAAAAGGTATAAAAGAAAATGAAAAATCCAACAGATATGTATGCATATACCGAACCCAAAAAAAAAACCTTCATCTATCTCTACCTCCCCCTCTCAAAAATCCCCCTCATCTCCTCACAAGCCTCCTGATACAAAAGATCCACAGCCTCCTGATCCCTCAACGGATTCACGCTCTTATCCCACGCATGGCCCTGCCCCGCCACCATCATCGACCGCACCTTCTTACCCAAACCCTCCAACTTCTTCGCAAACTCCTGCCCTTCCTCCAACAACATATCCCACTCGCACACGTACAGAAACACATCCGCCGGCAGCGCCTCTGCCAGCATGGTATCCGTTGCACGCAGCGGGGAGGCGAAGGGGGATACCCGATCTTCCAATCTGGGGACGTAGGACTCGTCGAAGAGGTTTGTGAGGAAGCCCGGGAGGCGTTTGTCGGGGTTCTTGGAGCGGTTACGGCGGGTTTCGCGGGTTGTGACGAAATCGAGGATTGGGTACCAGGCGAAGATGCTTTGGAAGTTTATGCTGGGGGTTGGGGCTTGGGCTGGGGGGTGGTGAGTTTCTGGTTGTGGAAGGGAGTGTGTAGAGTGGTTCAGGTGGCTCAGGAGGAACTGGTTTGAGTCAATTTGGCCAAGGTCTTCGTAGCTATATCCGCTTGCTGGAGTATATACACCTGAAAATTGCTCCTGCTGTTGGTCCTGGTGTTGCTGGTGCTGCTGGTGATGGTGGTGATGCAGTTCGATGGTACGACGATATAACCGCAGCGGTACGGTGACGGCCAGATTCCCCCCCGCGGAAAACCCTGTGAGACTCACGCGGCTCATATCAAGCGAGAGCGCTTCGGAATTGGCTTCTAGATAGAGCAGAGCGTCAACGCCATCGTCTACGGCAGCCGGGAACGGGTTTTCAGGTGCCAGACGATAATCGACGCTCACAAAGACAGCTTTGGCGCGAGACACGGCTATTCGCGCCCAGCGGCAATCGTCAGTTGCAGAGCCGATAGTGAAGCCGCCGCCGTGGAAGTTTACGACCACGGGCCATCTTTTACCGTCCGCGGAGTTGGTCTGGTAGTTGGCCGGTGTGTAGAAGTGGAGGGTTATCATATCTTTTAGTTTAGAGAAGGAGGGAAGAGAACGGACATGGGGAGAGCACACGTAAGAGATGGGGGAGGAGGAAGGTTTAATGGTTCTGGTGAAGCATGGGATGGGCGGACTGGGGAATGGAATGTAGCCGTGCAATATCATGCCGATTTTCATGAGGATTCGGAGGGTTGTGGCTTTGATGCGCAGCCATAGGCGACTGGCTTGTTGGCGGTCATTTTGGGTCTGCTTTCTTGGTCCAGTAATGCATAATATATTCATGACCTTGAGATGGATTGCATAAGAACGAACGTGGGGGAGTATCGGAGCGAGCGAATGTTGGGATAACTATTGGATATACAGGTGATTTGTCTGATTTATCTCGAACTCAATTACATTGTTCGGTGCCTTTGAAGATGTAAACCATGGAAAACGGATGGGTGTATAGTTTGAGATCTCGAAGTCTAACGTCGTGCGGAGGTTTGGAAGGTTTAACGAGTGAACCGGCCAAGGAGGAGCGGGATTACGTCATCCTGCCACTGCCCGGTTTTGCGGAGTTTCAACTTGTGTAGTCGGTCAGGCATTCGAGAGGCTTCATGGTTGACAGACTTCTGATGGGCGGGCACAATGGGAGCCAATTCTCAGATCTATATTTCCTGTCGCACGCCTCCTCTAACGTCACCTAGCTGCCTTTCAGGGCCTTTTAGCTACTTTGGGATTTCTCTCTCAGAAATCCCCCAACCACGAAGTTGCATTTGTAACACTTATGTGGCGAAGTTGCCGGAATCGCAATGCCGTGAAAGACAGACAACTTTATGGGCCTCCACTAGGTATGGACGTACAAAGTACATACACACGTTTTGCCTTGGGAGCCTCGAAACAGCAGACTTGGTGACGGGACAGATCAATCGAACGAAGAAAGTCATTTTCCATTTTTGAACCGCTGTGCATTGATTCACACCATAAGGGCCCTCTGTTGCTGTTTACATACAGCAAACAAATAAACTACAAAAAGTTGCCACTGTGGTAGTGTCGCAGGTGAGGCCATCTCCTGGGAATCTACCCCACGGAAGGATTCGAGTATCAGCTGAGATAGTTATTGATCTTCCGAGAGTCGATAGACTCTTGAAGTTAAAAGGAGGCTAAGTATGTCTGATAGAAAATGTCTAGGGAGTCCGGCGTCTGCTTTAAGAATCTTTTTGCGAATACTGTAGCAGACAATTACACCCTTTTATGATGATGGGTTGTCATGATCTTCAACGATCGGCGTTTTCTTTGCTGGCTGGCACCTTGGTCTTTCTCCCGTTGTTCGGTCAAGTGCTATAACGACAACCCACTTCCGCGCCGATATACATAGTTAGCCATCCACCCTATTCACACGTAGGCATAGGGGATTGAAGATTTGATGAATGAATAATGTTGTTGGTCAGATAGTTAAAAAACCGAGGAAAACAGCGGTGACATAAGCATGACATCATTTCCCCGCCTGTCACGGAGAGCCCGCAAGTCTCCGGATTTGTTGCGCCCGTCAAAACCAATTTTACATTCTCGGGCTGTCATTGGTAAAATGAACATAAAACGAGAAAGAAAACAAAAAGGAGACATCTATCGTGAGATTTAGGCCTGATGACTCATATTCTTGTGTGGGGCTTATATGACGATTGTATCGACTTGTGAAGAACACCTTCGCACCTACGATGCCATCCGACTTGCCGAATCCCTGGCATTTTTGAGTAGTCAGCCCCAAAGAGCAACAATCCGGTACCCGCTCTCATTTTGTTCTGGTGCATTCCGTCTCGTTCTCGGTCATTTTGGATTACTATTAGTCGTTTTATATCCGAAATCCGGGAGATGCCTTGCATTTGCTTAGAAATGACGAAATGGGGTTCCGCTTCCGGCTCTTCCTTTGATTATATATTCCAACAGCCCCAGGAACAACTTTTTGAGACCTGACATGGTTTATAGCTATGAAGCATAGAAGGATTTGATCATAGGGGCTCAGCATACCTTGAAGTTTTAATTTTCTCAGATCTCAAGGATCCTTCTTGTCCAAGTACGTGTTGATGTATCTCCTCTTCGCTCATTTCACCCTCATCTCTCTGACCAACCCCTGTCGCCACGTTTGACACTAGTTGTTCTAGGCCATCAGAGCCAAATCAAGAAATCGGCAGCGGTTACGTCGTTTTCACACGAAGCTTGGTTGTTCTCCTTGTATCTTTGGACCTGGCATGGACCAAATACCACTGAGTGGTTTCCAGAGTTAAAATGGCGGCCGAACCCGCCCTCCCAGTCGTCGCGGAACGATCCTCCAAATCGACCGAAAAACACCAAAGGAATTTGTCTATCAACATGTCTATCAAAACAGCCCTGACAAAGCTGAAGGAAACAGCAAGGCCGTCTTCTGACAGTGAACATTCCCCGACTCGGAAAAGCCTAGCTAGCTTCTTCCTTGATAAAGATATCGCATCTTCCAGTGATGACTTATACAGCGATGATAGCGAAGGCATGAGTAAGAATGAGCGGAAACGAAGGGCACGGAGACAAAAACGGGAATCGAGAACGCGATTGAGCGGGGAACTTAGGGAACACTCTGAAACACGCAGGAAGGAACGTGAAGAGCAGGCGGCGAGGGAAGAAACTGAGGAGATAAAGGCTCATTATGGAGATTTACCATTGATGCAGTCTAGAGAGCGCCCACGGGAGAAACTATTTAAGTTTGACAATATCACGGTGGATTTGGTAGGTCAGGAGGTGATGTTTAGGGCCCGCGTGCATCATGTCCGACGTATGTCATCGAAATTGGTTTTCATCGTCTTTAGACAACAGATCATCACTTTTCAAGGAGTGCTAGCAGAAAAAGCTGGGAAAGTATCTACTTTTATGATCCAATGGGCTGAGCATATCCGTGTCGGCTCGATTGTCAAGGTGAAAGGGAAGCTTAGCAAGTCACTAGTGCCTGTTGTTGGATGCACAATCCATGACGTGGAGCTTGATATAGAGAAGCTTCATGTCATCGTTCGGAGGGAGGAACCGGTTCCATTCAGTGTTTACGAAGCAGAGCTCACAACTAGAGAGGAACATACCCACGATGGGCGGCGCAATCACATTCTGGACAAGACCCGTCTTTCCAACCGTATCCTGGACCTGCGCACTGACGCATCCCAATCCATATTTAGAATTCAGAGTGCAGTCAGCAATCTGTTCCACAGTGCATTGGATTCCCAAGGCTTCATTGAGATTCATACGCCGAAACTTCAGGGTTCCGCTACCGAGTCTGGTGCTAGCGTTTTCGAGGTCAACTACTTTTCAAGAGCGGCATATCTGGCCCAGAGTCCACAACTCGCTAAGCAAATGGCTATTGCGAGCGACTTCGAACGTGTGTACGAGATTGGCGCCGTGTTTCGTGCGGAGAATTCAAATACCCATCGCCATTTGACAGAATATACTGGTTTGGATATTGAAATGGCGATCGACGAACACTACCACGAAGCGCTTGAAGTTATCGACTGCGTCCTCAAAGAAATTTTCAAAGGAATTTATGTGCGATACCGACGAGAGGTGGATATCATCAAGCATCAGTTCCCCCACGAAGACCTGGTTTGGTTAGATAAGACTCCAGTTATCCGGTTCTCAGACGGCATTAAACTTCTTAATGACAGTGGATGGCGCCGGGATGGTGAAGAACTTCCAACCAACGAAGATTTGGGGACTCGAGATGAGATGAGATTAGGCGAATTGATTAAGGAGAAATATCACACCGATTATTACATCTTGGATAAGTACCCTCGGGTTGCAAGGCCATTCTATGCTATGGAAGATCCTGAGAACCCTGAATTCACCAACTCTTTCGATATTTTCGTCAGGGGTCAAGAAATTGTTTCCGGCGGCCAGCGCATTCACGATGAAAAGATACTCGAGAAACGAATGAGAGACGCTGGTATCGATCCCCTAACAATGGAGGACTACCTGGAGGGCTTCCGTTGGGGTGCTCCACCTCACGCCGGTGCTGGCATCGGTCTGGAAAGATTAATCATGTTGATCTTGAAATTGGGAAATATTCGACTGGCCTCTATGTTCCACAGAGACCCTAAGAGCTTCCCTGCCATCCCAGTCCCATCCATCCTCCCATACCCAGACTCATCCACTATCGAACCTCCGTGGGAGAAGGAAGAAAATAAACACCAGAACAACACCGATAAGCACCGCGAATTCCAGCCACTGGAGGAACTCATCGCCAACTACGGTGACGCAACGTCAACATCATGGCCAGATCCAAAGTATAAAATCTGGCGCGACCACAGCACTGGCGCCGCCGTCGCGTACGTTCCCAGCAGTCACGGCTTCGCAATCATTCCAGGCAACCCGCTCTGCGACCCCAGTCAATACCACAAAGTAGTCGTCCGCTTCCTCCGTTGGCTCAAAAGCGAAACACACATGAAACCCATTTGGATCCTCTGCTCACTTCCCCTCGAAGAGGTCTTGGGCGAAAAGCTGGGTTGGCGCACTCTTTCCTGCATTGGAGAGGCACGCATCGATCCATCCCGCAACCAAGCAGCAGCAGACGTGGATATTTCCAAGAAAATACGCCACGCGGAGCGCGAGGGCATCAAACTCCTTACTATCCCTACCGATAAACCACTGCCAGAAGACGTGACTTCGAAAATCGACGCACGCATCGCAGACTGGTGCGCCCACCGCAAGGGGCCGCAGATATATCTCTCGGAAATCAAGCCATGGCGAGACACGCGAAATTACCAGTACTACTACGCCGTCGACAAGGAAGGGACTATTTGTGCCTTTGTCGCATTGGCCCGGCTGGCGGGGAATAGCATGCAGATCAAATACAGCCTGGACTTCCCTGGGTCGCCGTCGGGGGCGATCGAGTCCCTCATCACCCATGCGATTCAGTCTGTGGCTAAGTCTGGCATTAAGTCACTCACTTTCGGTGCCGGGGCGTCGAACCACCTAACACAGGGACACAACATGTCTGGGGCAAAGGCTAAGTTGCTGCAGAGCACGTACGATACGCTTGTCAAGCAGTTTGGACTGAATCGCAAGACGGAGTTTAGAGTTAAGTTGGGTGCGTATGAGGAGCCGCTTTACATTGCTTACCCGCGCAATGGAATGGGTTCGAGGGGTATCAGGGCTATTTTGAATTTTTTGGAAGATTGATTCCTGTTTGTAAGGATTCTTGATGATGGTTATGATGATGATATGATGTCTACCTGAATGGGATGTTTTTTTGCGGCTGATAACTAATGACCACACGTGATCGATTATGA